TACTAATTTTTCTGCATTTTGAGGCAGTAACTTACTCCTTTTTTAACCGACTTCAAAAAGGAGGAGGTGAACTCAATTCGGCTGTATGTTTTTTTTATTGCGTGTAAATATATTATAAAATATATTTGTTTATCTAATAGTTTATGTACACACGTACTATTCTACACTTGTATTTATTCTGTAATTCATATTATATCGTGTAACATAGTATACTTACATATTATACGTAATTGTACTAATGATTATGATCGTGCGCTTTGTCACGTAGGTACTGCTAAGCGGAATAAAAACAATACGTAATTTCCCTATTCGCATTTTTTTATTTGAATTATTTCTAGAATATATATCGAAACATAAATATATTTATACATATTATGAACTCGTTACGTTTTAAAGTGTAAAAATTACATTTGGACCAAGAACCCAGTAGATAATTTATTCCTCGGTGATATCATGGTAACAAAAGGCAGCATAATCGAGGATAGGAAGCAGTCAAGATTTTGCAAGCGTAATTTTAGATCGATAGATAGATAACTCTTTATTGCATTTAAACGAAGTGGTTGCAATTACGGAAAACTTATGAACTACAAACGGTGGTCATATCGCTTTAAGCGATTTCTATCTGACAAACCGAACGTAAAAGGACGTTTTAATATATTTTAGTGGAAATGGGTAAAAAGTAGTTAAGGCTCCGGGGTGAAGCATATGCTGCAAACATTTTACCCCTCACTGCATTAATTTCGGAAGTCCAAGAAAGAATCAAAAAGGATACCTAAATTTTAAAGTAATTCATTATAAGGGATAGTGACACTATTAAATATAACGTGTTGTAATTGACATTCTTGAACTCCCAATAATTATGGCTTGGAATTTTAAAGGGTTCAAACAACAGTTAACCCATACGATCGCCTCTAGTTAAAAATACAAGCCAGATCCTTGTTGATACATTCAACTGCTTTAGGAAGATCTTCAATGGTTGTTTGTTAATATATTTGGAGATATAGGTACAAGTGGTAGAGAGAAGATATTTCTAAGTAATCGTATTAATAAAGATTGCGAATAAAAGAGGAGATAACACGCCGCCTTGCGCAACGCCAGGCTACGAAGCCACGAAGAACGTTGTATCTTGGACAATTCATTGCCGACGTCCATACATATTACTATAAAACCAGGAAATTGCAGTTGGAGAGAGAGTTAAGGGAACGCAGTATCCTTAACCAAAGAGTCCAAATTCCACTCGTAATAGAGAGTTACCAATGCGTAGATTCCGCAGATAGAGGGCCCTTATCTAAGGATCCTAGGCTATAATGCTATTGTGAAACCGAGGGCTTGAAATACCGTTAAAACGTGACTTTACCGTGGTATTAATTTGGCATTTACTTTAATATAATATTATTCGGCTACCTACCAAACTTTTGGCATTTATTTATCTGAATATTCTAATAAAAATCTAATGCAGTTTATAATTTTATACCAATAATGTAAAATAAATGACGATATTTTGTATACCATCGCGGCATTAGATGGTGTGATATTCATAACTAACAGGCGAATGACCTTAGTCGATCTTAAAATAAATGGATGCCAATCAGGCCACTAAGATGATTCCATTAGGCACAAACGTATAAAATATACGAAGATAAGAAATAAAATATACATTTCTAATTTTAGCATGATATGGACCTACTATACGTGGTAGAGCCACGATGCAACTACAGTGTGGTTGTAGCACGACCAGGGTAGTATCACGTTCTCATGGAATAACAGCGTAAATAGCAGCTTAAAGCTGCTGTGTTTCATATGGTATGGTCACTGAAAACGAGGCATTCCATCTTAGTCCTCACGGGTGACAACGCATCTGCATTTTGATTCTTAATCGAGGATAAATGTAGATGTCTATGCTCCGCAGCATTCATTTGCCACCGGGTGTATTGTGCTCGTTAGTCGCCCATATTCTATAAATAGCTTGATATTAAATAACAATATGACGGTTTATTTTTCAATATACAGATTCGTTGATTCATATGTTTAATATAATCTGCCTTACTTAACGTTTTCATAAATAAAGGTATGCAAATAAGGCTATTTTGTTCCGAGAAATAGCTAATTGGCATGCACAACATCGTCATGGGTTCGAGACGTATGTCTGCAATCGTCAATAGGCCTGCCAAGCTTTATTTCTATTGAAATTTAAATCTAACCTTGAAAAATTACTCACATCCGTACATGTAAATACATGATAAAAGGGGAAATGATTGATTCTTATCGGACACGTATATAGACCTCTTCTCAAATGCCCAACCCATACAGGCAGACAGGAGTTTCGTTTTGTGTTTTGACTACGTTGGGTGCTAAGTGTCACACTAGCGAACAACAACGCTTTTATTTTTAGTTATACTGTTGTGAATTGCGATAGCCGCATTATCTGCATTACTATTATTTTATTCACATACTGACTCATTATTAAGTGGCGAAGCTTGCGAAGTCACTTATTGATTTCACGATGTCTGTCCGTCTGTCCCACGACTATCTCGAGAACGGTTTTAAATTTTCAAATTCTGTTTTCAGCAATCGATTACTGATCACCCAGGCATCTGAACCTCCTATTTTGAAACTGATTGCTCAACGGCAACCGTTAGAAACCGCTACAAAGCTGATTGCTTCGCCACTTTGCTATGCTGTTAGCTTGCTAGGTGTATTTTACCCGCGTTTGGATGTTTTATGCCTTTCTATAATTATATCGCATAAGCTTCACATACATATTATTAGGTACACTGGACAATTTAGACGAGGTTAATTATCGTGACTATCCACTAAACCTGGGCACTGAGCCGCTCTAATAAAAAAAACATACGTGAGTGTCATGGAACACTCGGTTGGAAGGAACTTTCTTTCATATTATATTATTAAGTGGCGAAGCTTGCGAAGTCATTTATTGATTTCACGATGTCTGTCCGTCTGTCCCACGATTATCTCGAGAACGGTTTTAAATTTTCAAATTCTGTTTTCAGCAATCGATTACTGATCACCCAGGCATCTGAACCTCCTATTTTGAAACTGATTGCTCAACGGCAACCGTTAGAAACCGCTACAAAGCTGATTGCTTCGCCACTTTGCTATGCTGTTAGCTTGCTAGGTTTATTATTGATTAACAAATAAAAATAAATGGATTACTAGCGTCTATTAAAATGAAGCGTCATTTAAAATAAAATAATATTTCTTTCGTGGCAAGATAAGAAAAAGTGGGTGGGAGATGGATATTATTCCATCCCGCTTTCTTATAGCCGCCAAGGCCGTCTACGCTACGTCAGAAGGGGACGTGACGGATAAATTGTACACTTTTTGTCGCCTAGACCCAATCCGCCAAATTCGTACTGTCCGATAAGGAACTTCGTACCAATAATCTATACAAATAAATAAAATTGAAGTGTCTGTTTGTAATGTCAAAATTACAGTTTTTTATTAAATGCATATGAAAGTAAATACGGTACTTACAACTAAAATACAATTTTTAAAATTTTTGTCTGTTTGTTCCGGCTAATCTCCGGAGCTGATTTCATAAGAAGTAACTTAGGCTACTTTTATTTTAGAAAAAGAATTAGGGTTTCGCGCAAAAACTTAAAAACCCTAACACGCGGGCGAAAACGCGGGGAACAGCTAGTATATTAATAATTTCGCCGTAGCTTATTATTTTACTCTGCAAATCGTCGTATTCGGACGCCAAAGTGCATCTACAATCTAGATACAGTTCGTTGTAAATAGCTTCGAAAGCTACTTGCACTTACTTTAGTGCATAAAAAGATGATACTCGAACCAGTAGAGAACTTGAGAAAATTTGAAAAGACTCTAATTGGATGGACTTTATTGATCAATGGAAAGAACAATCTGTTGGTCTATACTGTTTCTGTTCATTTACACAATGCCAATAATGGTTTCGCTTAATACATTGTCTCAATTGACCTCGTGTAAATAGTGCATCAGAAGTAATCTTACTGCATTAAACTGCACACTTGACACCTTGCTGTCGAGAAGTAGTTGCCGTAATGTTTAAACCGCCCAATTTCGTCATAATAATAATAAAAAGTATTTACATCAGTAAATAATATAACACAGTGACTATGACATCTAAGTTATGATGTTATTAAATGATTTTAATACTACACTAATTCTCGAATTATATCATGATACATCTTACACATAAATGAAGTAAAAATACCAACTCGTGCGACATTTAGGTATTAAATATAAATTATTTTTATGGTTATTTACCTTCTCTTCTTTTTCGGAGGGTTTTAGGGCAAGGAAATGTCCGCCGCGCTGCCCCAATGCGTGTTGGCTAATTTCACTTCTTCGAAATATTTTTTCTTATTTCGTAGTTTATGTATATAATATGTATATTTACTTAAAGAGAAAAAAATGTTGAATGAAACAACTTTTAAGGATTTTATCGCGTTTAATAAACTTATTTTTATTAATTCCCGACGTTTCACTACACATTGAATAATAAGTAGTTTTATTCAATGTGTAGTGTTCGCGTAAATATGAGAATAAAATGTGTTATAGTCATGTCGCAAAAAGTTCTAGACTTACAGTAACTCAGAGTGAGGTATATATACCACTGTCATTGGTACTATAAAGAATTAACTTTGGCACTGCTTATTTTAAAACAAAACCGGTTAAGTGGGTGACAACGGACTAGGCAACATAGTGAACCGTTTTAGGAACATCTTTATATTATTTTATAATTTTTATTAGACTGCTACATGAATCTATACATAACTTAAATATACTTATCATAATTTTTTTCCGTCGGCATACTTCTATCTATTATTCTTTACTCCTGTGCCAGTGTTGTATTTATTGGAAGATGTGTAGAAATGTCGATCGCAAGGCTTCTTAAGAGATGAATCAACGTAAGAATTATTGATTTGATAAATCTAGACGACTAACGTCCAAAAATAACGCGATAAGCTAAAAATGATTGCTTTCTTTTGTTCCAGGAGCCAGTGACTATCAAGTCTAAAGCCCTTCATTGGCAGAAGCTGGATCCATCGGACCAACTCTACATCGCCGAGAAAAAAGAAGTATCTTGCGAGAACTAAAGCTTATAGAAAAGTGGCGTTTAGAAATGCATTAAATACATATTAACTATTAATTGTAGACAAGCATTTAGTCAGTGCTTTTTTTCTGATTACAAATCACTTAGACAAAATGTTCGCACTTTTTGAATATTAGAGAAATCATAGATTTTTATGTACATATAATACCTACCTATTGAACAACATTGTTTTAAAATTTTTTGTTTAGTATGGTCTGTTTCGAAACTTTATTTATTATAATGAACCACTACAAAAGTAAAATGCCTAATTTTATATTTGACGATGACAAAAAGTTGTACCTAGTACGTAGTTGTCTCGTTATTATTACGTAACGAATATTTTTTTTTTAAATTTGCTATTTGGCAATAGCAATAGGAATCATTAGGAAAAAGCACAAGATTTAAACTTGAATAGCTGTATTCAGAGCCCAGAGTGAAAAACCCGGAACCGTCAGGTTTAAATATATATTAATATAAAAAATAACCGGCATAAAGATATTTTCAACACAAAAAACAAAAACACAAGCAAAGATTACAAATGCAGACAAACGAAAAAATAACACTTCAAGATTAATTTATGCATATGTATTGCCCAAATACTCAAACGCTGCTCAATTTTAAGATGTCGTTACGTCTCGTGCTGTCTCTATCACTTTAAGTCAAAGTGACTGTGACGCAATGAGATTTGAACATATCTTAAAATTTAGTAGCGTTTGAGTATTTGGCTATATGTGTGTAATACTGGTGATACCTTTCGAAATATTAGCAAAATTTTACTACTTGTGCCTGTGGTTCCATGGTGTAATGGTTAGCACTCTGGACTTTGAATCCAGCGATCCGAGTTCAAATCTCGGTGGAACCTGTGTTTATTTATTATTTTTAAATTTAACGGAAAACCATGTAAAAGTAGATCTAACTTTTACAAATATAAACAATTTATATGTTAATGTCATAAATATGATTAAGTGTAATAATTATAGTTGACACACCTGCCTGTAGAATTTAGAACTGCAAATTTGTTTTGTCGTAGGTATACAAGTTGAGAACGAGAACCTTTCAACGCACTTTTTGAGTGTTTCATGTCATTCACTTAACGCTTATCTAAAAATGATTTATTATACGTACATTTCCACAGATTTTCTGTAAAATTGTGTCAGTTTATGTTTATTGATGCAACGGAATAGTTCCGTTCTTCTACGTTTATAATACAAATTTATAGTCGTCATTAAATAATTATAAGTACTTAAGGTAAAAATTTTTTGGCGACACAATAATTCTGTAAATGTATTAAATAAAAATCGACATTCCAAGATATTAAAATGAGTTTATATTGTTATGCGACAGTGATCTGTGTGTTCTGTTCTAACAATAGTTTTGTGCAAAAAATGTTTGTTTTCATTTTACTTATTTGTGCTGGAACACTTATTTTTAAAGTAGGTACATAGGCTTGTAATTAACAGGCTAGAAAACTTTAGGTAACTACTTTTTATTTTATGATCAGTGATTTAAATTGTGATTATTAATGTATTACAATGTACTTAATTTTATTATTTATGGTAGGGTATGCTGTAGAGCAAATGTTTGACATTTTTCATTATTTGTGTAAATGTCTAATAAAGTGTGTTTAAACTATCGATTTATTGATTTAATATTTTATACGGGGTAATCTGGGGGCACGGCAGTGCCCCCGCCAAGTCGAGCAAAAAGCGGCACGGCCGTACCATCCTTTTCTCGAAGCAGTTCAGGCCATATTCGAAACCCCTATAACTTCGTTGTGGATAAAAACTAGAAGCCTGAATTGAAAACCATTGAAAACCAAGTAGGCATTGTATAAACTCAATATATTTCAAATTTCATTAAATTTGAACCAGTAGTTTAGGAATTATAACTAGTCAAAGTTTCTTAATTTTGTCACTCACTGACTGACCGATCATCAAAACTCTTAGGCACTTCTAGCAGACATGGAAGCTTCAAATTTGGAATACAATTATTGTTTAGTATATAAATCAAGGAAAAATTAAAATATTTTGCATTTTCGGTCCAGTTTTCGAGATACACCAACTGCATAAATAACTTTGTAATCCTATATAAATGTATAGGATTACAAAGTTACATTTGCACTAAATGAATCAGTGTACCTATGTATGTATAATATAATGGAATAATAGGTGTAGATAGGTACCTAGATATAACTATCTACAAAAAGAAATGAAATGCCATTAAAAACATAATTTGTAAAAAAACCAAGTCTCACAACTCAGTTCTTCTAAAATAGTTTTGAGATCCATGTAATACCAAGTCGGTTAATTTATTCAATCCCTACTTAAGGGTCCTTCTGTCTTAAGTACATACATAAACACGCACGCCTGTCACCCAGAGGGGTAGGCAGAGACTACGGACTTCCATTTGGCGCGATCCTGACACAGATCTCTCGCCTCCTTTACATCCATATATCTACGCATACACGCTCGTCGGTTAAGGGTACTCCTAATCTGGCCCATTTTTAATGTATCGCCGATTTGGTCGATAAACCTTCGTCTAGGGCGTCCCTTCCCGACCCTGCCGTTCAGTTCTGCAACATAAATTTGCTTTGTCACTCTTTCCTCGTTCATTCTTTCTACATGACCAAACCACCGAAGCATTCCTTTCTTAATCCTTGTCACAACGTAATCTTGCAAACCACACTTTTCTCTTATCACACTATTTCTCACCCTGTCGTTCAGATTCAGCCCTAGCATACTCCTTAAGGACCGCATTTCTACAGCATTTATTCTACTCTCATGCTTCTTCTTCCAGACCCAACTTTCACTACCATACATTAAAGTAGGGACTAACACAGCATTATGAATTGCCATACGTGCCTTATTTGACACATTCTGACTCTTCATAATAGCGTGTAGAGCCCCATTCACTCTATTTCCTGTCTTAAGTTATTACGTAATTAGCCAACCTAACAACATCTTATAGTGACCACATCAATACTAAAAATCTTTTATATTTTAAATAAATAGATTGACTTGGCCATCGCACTAAACAATCTAATTTAATATAATATGTATTACTTGAGAGATACATTGGGTTTTCATGCGATGACCAAGTCAATCTATTTATTTAAAACATAAAAGATTTTTAGTACTGATGTGGTCACTATAACTTAAGACAGAAGGACCCTTAAGTAGAGAGGTTCTATGGGCAGCTGTATACATCACCGTTGGAGCCACACGTGTGAGTAACGATCCAAGAGCGAGTTTTATCCGACACTATTCCGATGATATCCCGGACGTCAGTCAATTTTTTTTTATAGGATAAGGGTGACAAACGAGTACACAGTCCACCTGATGGTAAGTGGTTGCTGCGGCCCATAGACTTCTACATCTATCCTCCATTACAAATCAAAATGTAGATGCGTTGTCACCCATGAGGACCAAGATGAAATGCCTCATTTCCAGTAAAAAGGGCCTCCGGCCACCTGCACTCACCAAGCGAAACGCAGAGGTAAACCTCTACTTCACGCTGGTTTTCTGTGAGGTCGTGGTACCACCCCGGCTTGAGCCGGCCCATCCGTGCGACAGCAAAAGCTGCCGCGTGGCTCTACCACTGATAAAACCAATACCAATCCCCTTTGGTAATGTCCTCACCAATGAAATAAATTTGAGAATTTTTGGCTCTTGTTGAGGTAAAGGTAATATATATAATAGGCTACCAACCAAATTATAAACTTACCTTGCACTTTAAAAGTGGGCATATAATCATCTTCTATTATTATTTTAGCCCCAAAGGACGTCATTTGAAAGCAGCCATTATACTTCCTAATACGATCCATGAAATGTGCATACTCTGGATGAAGATCCATAATCAAGCTATAAAGAGGTTCTGGCAAGGGCTCGAAAGCTGGAAGCTTTACTTTATCATCGGTGTAAGAAGAAGCCCCTGGCATGTTCTTTCCACTAAGCTAAACAGTGTATACATTTTTGATTCATAGCACCAAGAATAACTGTTTTATCAGTGTCATAAGCTATTTCGGGATCATACATCAACCCAGATAAAGCTTTTACTTTCCATGGACGTAATCGTCTTTCTGATCGTATGATCTGACTCTAGATAATTTTTCACCGTAGAACGGTGAGAATCAGGGTTATTTTGCTGGTAAGTTATGACAGCAGCACGGTGAGACTCAGGGTTATTTTGCTGATAAGTCATAACTGCAGCACGGTGAGCCTCTGGATTATTTTGCTGGTAAGTCATGACTGCAGCACCATGTATTTCTGGATTTTTGCGTTGATAAGCCAGGACAGCGCTACGATGAGTATCCGGTTTACATTTCTCGTACTTAATACTGGCATTTTTGAGTTGTTGTTTTTTTTTTTCTAGTTTTATTAGTATATCTAGCCCGGCGATGCGTCTTTTTCTCAGAAGTAGAAGAACTTTTAATTTGAGAAGTAGAATAACTTTCAATCTGAAAATAAGAAACTAAATTCGACATATCTACAGGAAGGTAAACTTCGAAATGTCCATTAGATAGATCATGCGAAGTACTAAAGCGTAATCTATGTGCAGGGTTTTCTTCCCCACCAAATTTCTCGTATAAAATACCATTATGATAAACCAAAAAATCCAAAAGGAAAATCTACCCAGCAGCCACTAATTCGCAAAAACCACCATATGTATAAGGTTGAGACAGTTCGGCATAGTAGTCGGCAGAAGAAGAAAGAAAATTGTTTTTTTTTTTTGGTTAATTGTGCATCAAATTTAGTCACTCCACTATAATACATATTTTATTTTTCTCTCAAGTCTGGAGTTTTCCCCAAAGTCTGGAAGGTGGCTAAAGTTGTGCCAATTTACAAATCTGACGGTGAAAATGTAATAGGAAACTATCGACCAATTTCAATTCTCCCTCAAATGGGTAAAGTTATGGAGTCATTAATTACACCCCTAATTCAAAACTATTTCAAACAATTTTTAACAGACCAACAACACGGATTTACGCGGGGTAGATCGACTTCT